CAAAATCTAATTTTCAGAGCTTTCTACCTTCAAAGAGTGATGTGTGGGCTTTGTATATGTAGCCAAAGTGGTTTTTAGATTGATTTGGCAGTTTTTTAACAAATTGCAGCGCATTTCTGCCAGCCTCCCACGTGACAATGAACTAAAGCCTCCTACAACGATGACGTGGCCAGCTACACCTATGACGCGTTTGACGTAGCAGAAAGCGCTTTGCACCTGCCCCCCTCCCCTGCTTCGCCGCCTCCATCCCGCATTGGCTGACAATTTCCACATGAACACCTAAACAAAAGCGACAGCATAAGCTTCTACACTGCAGTGTACACGATATAATAAGTTTATCTACTAGTGTTTATTAATACTTTACCAATCAGTAATTTTCAGCTGATGCCAACGTGGTGCTTGCGCTTCGTGCACCTCAAAGTTCTTGTCCTATTCTGGGGCCAACTCATAAGGCTGAACAAGCTGTATCGCCATGATGAATAAAAGTTTATTCCTGCCGGTATTTCTCAGGACGGGCAGGGGGATGAGCAATAGTTGGTCTTTCATATTTCCTGGTCTGTGACTGCCTCCAAGAAATCAGTAAGATTTCATAACTATTGTGTAATGGATGTTCCAAAATCCAAATTGTGCTTGTATATGTGCAGAAGATACAACGTGAAAAGAGTTATTTTGCAAAAAACAACAATTTTGGATTGCAGTAATTGTGACTATGTATGTGTGCAAGCTGTACTGTGATTATTTCAAGAACTTCAGAACTCATAAATGTACAGTTCACTTAATGTGATTAAGCAGCAGTTCAATAAAAAAAAGTTGATCACACACAAAAAAAAAAGTCCAGATACCTCAAATTTTTACTCAAATACAGTACAACTTTTACTTTGTTACATTCCACTGCTGCCTTTTACTATAGCGGCTTTATATATAGAGGCTGTGTAGCTTTTTAATCTGAATATGTTGAAGGGTATCTACTAATCCTGGGGCTGCTGTACTTTGGTCTGTTGTCAGCGCAAATCGAAACTACACGGGTTTGATCACTCCTTAAGGATGCTGCCCCCTCTGATCCCAATTAATTTAAATACCAGCTCCTCCGCGCTGCAAATCATGTCACGCAAACGTGGTAAACAAATGCTAACATGAGCGTAATCTATAGGGATAGCCCCACCGAGGGTTAACGCAGCTTTTAATATTGAATTTTTCTCTTGCAACTTGGTAAACATTCTACGCTTGGAAATTGATTTTTTAATTTTTCCCATGGCTGAAGTCACGATATCGGATGCGGGAGTGAAAAGTTTGGAAGAAAGGATATTGCTAGTGGGTTCTTGGGTCAGCGGTACACGGATGTCTTATGATAAATGACTGTGAGGAGTGGGAGTGCATGTGTTCCGGGTCAGCGGGGGCCGTTTTATTCCTATACTGGACAGAAAGAGAGCGAGGAGAGAAGAAAGGAGAGAGGGATATATAGAGACAGTAGTAATATATAGAGCTCTGAGAAATGGTTAAATGTGAGAACACGAGAGGTATGCAATAAAGTGGGTAGAGATGGTGAGTAAGCAGTAAGGCCAGGGGAAGGCTGAGCACGTGTGGACTGAGGAACACGAACGGGATCCAATAATAAGACAATATGTTCTCTAGAGCAAACAAACAAGGGCAAGAGAAGCAGTGGGAGATATTACATTACCAGAAGTGGGTAGAGTAGCCAGAAATTACAACAGAATACTTCAAAATAATATTACTCAAGTAGAAGTACAGCTAGTGGTCCAAGAAATAACTCAAATATCGATAAAGTTTGTCTAAGTCTAAGTAAGAGTAAGATGTATTTGGGAAAAATAATACAACTACTATGTCTGTGTGTATATAGGAGACTGTGGTTGAGGAATAGGAGCGGTATCCAATAATAAGACAGTGAGAGAGAAGCAGTGGGAGATATTACATGACCAGGGGTGGGTAGAGTACAGTAGCTCCCAAGAAAGAGTAATGTTACTTCAAAATAATATCACTCAAATAGAAGTAAAAAAGCAGTGGTCAAAGAAGTTACTCAAGTAAGAGTAACTTATTGAGTAACTGTCAGAAGTAACATCTGATTTATAATTTTAAGTTAATGCCATTGGAAGGCAAAACATTAAATGATGCACAGAATCCGGTATTTTCAACAGATAGACACAAAAATGAGAAAAACTGCATTATATCTGAACAGAACACAAATGTTCAAATCATTTCATATTGTCAACTTAAAGCTTTTGACACTTGTAGACTTGTGGGAGTGGGAAGTCTCACCAAAACTTACTCAAGTAAGAGTACTGCTACTTCAATAAAAACATTACTCAAGTAGGAATAAAAGTATGCTGCTAGAAAAATACTCTGAAGTACAAGTACAGTTTCTTTGTTAATGTAACTGAGTACCCACCTCTGTATATTACTGTATACAATGATTAAAAACATAAACATATTTCTGAAATGATTGAAAAATCTAAAAAATAATATAGTTTTTTTTTTTTTTTTTTCTTTCCCAACATTGTTTATTGAACATTTTTAACATTAACAAACAAACAGAGTACACTGTCTTGAATAGTACCATCACAGGTATGACAGTAATACAGGAGGACACATCTGAATGTCAACATCCCACAACCGGCCTGGCCCGCGGCTCGCTGAGGCTCGGACAAGTTGCATCTCATGTGGTCAGAAAAAAAGTGAAAAAAGTGTAAAGAAAAGACGTCAAACTTAAAGAAACGCTCGCGGTAGACTTTTTCAAAATAAAAGCCAGTGAGAAACAGATGTTTACAATAAAATAAATAAATAAATAATAAAAACTGCATTAATGGCGTTAATATAATTGTCGGCGATAATGACTAAATTAGTTAACGCAAAATTAACGCGTTAACATGCCCGGCCCTGGATAATAATAATGGTTAAGTAAATAAAATCGATAGTAGATAAATTAAATCAATATTGTTGTTTTCTTTTAATACCCTACACTATGTTAAATTTACTTTTTGGGCCCAGTTATCAACAATACAAAAGTTGTGTTTGGATAATTTGTGCAGAAATTCGGAAAATGATGCTTTTATAATAATTGCAATTTGAAACATCACAATAGTCAAATAGCAAAAGCTGGAATAATTTGGCAGAAGAAAGGCTAACCCTGCAGTTTCGTCCGCTAAAAGCAAGTTCTGAAAGCAGCTGAATCTTCTGTTCGTAGAGCTGTTTATTTTTTAACCTTTCATAAAAACCTTAAAATTTTGAACTACGATCTGAATCTTGACATTCAAACAAAAACATCAATTAACATTTTACAAGTACAGTTTTATTAACTAAAATTATGCAACCCTACGATTATTCTCGCTTCTTGAAAATACTTCTTCATAAAACTTGATGTCATGTGGTGAATCTATGAATCTCCTCTGTGTTTTTAAAGTTCCTCTATTACGCAAAATTGACTCTTGTGAGCTTTTACCCATGTTATTATGTTGTCACCTGATCAAAAACAAACCTGGAGTTGTTTTGTTTCACTCACACACGTTTGAGTAACCCTTTATTATTAGTCTGTCTACATCTCCAAAGCTCAAAACACTCTGTTCCACCTTGTGATGTCATGAAGCTGTAGTTTTCAAGTTACCATCTACCTTTAAACAACATTATAACACAGATCAGAAAACAGTGTAACATGGACCCCTTAAAGTCAATTTACAGGTGTGTTCAAAATTGTTGGTCCCCCTCTGGTAATGAAAGAAAAATCAACAATCATCACTGAAATAACCTGAAACTGATAAAAGCAATAATAAATACAAATTTAACAAAAATGGTCTTACGTACTGTAAATCAAACATTGCTTTTCACCTGTGGTTCAACAGAATCATTAGAAAAAACTAAATAATGAAACAGGCCTGGACAAAAATGATGTTACTCCTAACTTAATATTTTCTTGCACAACCTTTTGAGGCAAACTCTGCAAACAAATGATTTCTGTAACTGTCAATGAGACTGGTCCATGTTCAGTGTCGTCTCCATCATGTCTCCAAACAGCACAATGACAACATGTCGCCCTTTAAACAGGAAAACTGACTGAGGACAAGTTTGAAGACACATGTGATGCTAATTGAAGGACACACCTAAGTTTAACACGTCCATATTGTCTAAGTATTTACAATCTTTTCTAGGGGGTAACATCATTTTTGTTTCATTAGTTGTTTTTTTTTAAATAATTGTGTTGAACAACAATTCAAAACCAGTGTCTGATTTTCATTGGTTATTTTTCAGTAAATTTTTATTTATTATTGCTTTTCTTAATTTCAAGTTATTTCACTGATTATTGTTCATTTTTCTTTCATTTTAAGAGGGGTCCCAACAATTTTGCTCTACCTTTACCAGACTCATCTTAAAGTTTTATATTCCTCAAATAGTACAAAACACCAAAACAATCCATAATACGATGACTTACTGACATGTCATTTGATCTAATTATACGCTGTCTTTGTTCTCATGGTGCAGTGTTGTTTACTGCTATTTAGCTACAGCATATTGCCAAAAATATATGGACACAAATAGAGCTGTATACTGCTAAAAGCTGCCAGACTTTGTTGTTCGGATAACAACACATAATTATAATGTGAGTAAAAGTAAACTATTTAGAAAAACATTATGCAGTATGGGAACAGCCAAAAATGCCAAGCTAATAACAATATAATCCCCTCTAACATTTCAGTATTGCTAGGAAAGGGCTAATTGTTTTCCGCTTTTGATTTTTGTATTTAGACAAAGAGTGGAGTCATGGCTGTGAAAATCGACTGCACTGAGCTAAAGAGATATTCTGGTATTTGTCATGCATAATTAAACACATTCACTCATTGTCAGATTTTTCAAACGTGACGGTTCAGTGGGTCCATTTATTGCAGTTCAGAAGTCAAGTGTGTTCTTTTATCTCGGGGTTGGCTGGTGGTTATTAGATCTGGTTCGTTACTGCTGTTTGGGTCTGGTCGTACACGCTGACATGAGATACTTACAGAAAAGTACTCCTGTTCTCTGGGAGGTCGAGGAGAACGGGAGGTTCTGGTGTCTGGGAGGGGTCTGCAGGGCGGTTTGTGTGGGACACCGAGTCTCTCACCCCTGAAAAAAACACGATAGACAAAGTGAATATGCAACACCAGAATAATCTATACAGGTAGAGAGAGATAAGAAACAGAAATCATTTACAACAGAAAGATAAGAAAAAGTTACATTTTAAAACTGTTTACATTTATAAACCTGCTTCTCACTTCTAATTGGATAATACTTAAAGGAGAGAAATTACTTGGACATACTGGCTCTGTGGTTTTCAGTCTTGTTACACCTACTGTAACAAAATTTGGCCTTCCCAGTACCACCAGCTCTAAATCAATTTTATACCAGGACTATTCCAGGTCTACACTAGTGCTAAGGGCCTGTTAACATGACTGCGCTTAGTGGGTAAAAATGACAAAATATTTTATGGGAAGTGTATTTTGTTTAGACCGTGATGGCGATTTTGGGGCTTAAAAATGCAAAAATCTGAAACTATTCTCCAGAGTGGAAAAGTTGAATACGCTCTGCTGTTGAATTTCCGTCTACACTGCCCAAGACGCAAAACTCTGGTCAGATCTTCTCATGTCGCGTACCCGTTTACATCACATACATACAGTACACAGAAACCTGGCATGCATACCCAATCAAATTCCACACACTTTTGCGTTACCGAATGCATGCAGATTTCCTCCTGAAAACGCTCATCTTAACTCTAAACGGAATAAAAAGTGAAGACATGACACCACTTTTGCATCTTCTGTTCAGACTGTCATCATATAAACGTAGCCTGAAACAGGACTAAATAATACTATGGTAAGGCAAAACCAAATGGAACACAAACATGCAGACTAAAATTATTCTAAAATATAAGCAAATATTTGAACTGCAGGGGAGTCCTTGTTAGCCAGGCTGGCGCCACCTAGTGCCACTGCTCAATTTCATTTCTCTCCAGCAACTAGGTCAGGAAATGGAATACACTAGACGGTTTGCAAGAACCCCAGAAGTGTGAGTTTGGGCACCAGCCAATCAACAAAGAGTCATACATTCAGGATTGTCAGTGATTCCCGAGATCGAGGATTTAAAGTCAGAACAAAGAGAATGTTTGGTGAATTTCATCAAGGGGAAAGATGTTATTGCCATTCTTCCTAAGGGATTTGGGAAAAGCTTAATATACCAGTTAGCCCCGTTAGTGGTGCATTACATATGCCACGACCAAATAACAGTGACTGGTTAAATGAAAAAAAGTACCCCCCTACCATCGAGAGAACGAATCCTAATGCTGCAAGGTTAGAGGTTCTACGAAGTGAAACTGACTGATGAATCTAACTAACTAAGTCCCTGCACCACCTGAAGGAACTTGTGTACCACCAGTGGTAGACAACCCACAGTTTGAGAACCACTATACTAGTTTAAAGGTAGTACTACCTCAAAATTGCTTCTATTTGAGGCAAAAATGTAGCTACTCCATACTCCTAAATCTAACATGGGGTTCAGATTTAGTCCCCAAAGAAACAGACGTCATACTTGGACATGTTGTTACCACCAATAACTTCATTCGATTTTTTTTTACCAGTAGATGTGAAACCTGTTCCTCCTGTCCTCACCCGGCCTTTGTTCAGACTCACCTGCGCTCTCTGGTCTTCTGTCAAACCAAAGCTGTCACACTATCACACAGCAGTAACATAGAAAGCATCTAGTTGTGTTATGTGAGATTACAACAGAGGTGACCAGACTAATTACAAATGGAAGCTTTAGTACAATATAGTTACTTAAAACTTTTAATAAACTGTTCATAAATAAGAAGTTAGTATTGTGTGCTCTTTTTCCATTCCTCCCACATCTTCTGATGCCTGTGGTATGACTAGAATTTCAAAACGATCCCAGATCAATACTATTTCTATACCACTCTTGCACTTCACATTTCTTTTCGTTGCATCATGGGACATAAAACATACAAGCAGTATTATCTTGCTTTTTTCTCTCTCTCTCAATTCCAATTTCTCTTACTCTTGCATTGTCTTCCATCTGTATATTTGATCATTATTCCTTGGCGGCTCCAAATTGCTAACCCATGTCAGCGAGTGTCGATAAGGTCATGTGCCGTAAACAGGTCCAATTAAAGAGTGAGCGCTTGGCTTTCAAATCGTAAATGGAGGAAAATTGGTATTTAAATGTATCTAACTTGTTTCTAGCTTTCTCAACCCATTTGGCCTATCACTAGTATTCACATGCATGTATTGTTTGGCCACTTGCACATCTTGAAAACAGCTTTTTCACATAGAGAAGTGAAGCAGGATGGACTAACCTTGCTCAGCTCTCAGCACAAAGCATCTTGACTCACACTCACACCATTCATTCACTGGGGTTGTATTATTGTTAATAAGTTCCATAGAAACTACAAAGCTGTTTTAAAGCCTCCCAGAGAATTGGTGCATTGTTGACTTGTTGGTGCACAGGAACACTGAAGATTTAACACAAATAAACGCACTTGAAATCATATTTTAGTGGTTGGTTATGGCCTTTAGAGGCAAGAGTGGGTGGGGCAGAATAAGTGAAAAATCAATGGAGGAATTTTTCTAATTAGATGAAGACAGCATATAGCGGTCAGATTTTTTATCACAAACAGCACTTTTAAAATGCACTTTCTGGGAGGATAACAGAATTTGGTTTGAGTAGCTTAAACAGACATACCATATAGCTGCCACACGCGTACTTTGTCTTCATAGGGCAGGTCGTACTTGAGCGGGTCTCCCACAGGACCCTGGTAGTACGGCCTCATGATGGACTCTATGGCTGAGGTGTGCACCAGACCGATGGCATGGCCGAACTCATGCACCGCCACAGCAAACAGGTCCATCCCATGAGAGTCTGAGGAGAGAGGGAGAAAAGGACACAAGTTGGCCTTTGTTACACATTTTTTTTATTTTAACATCTCATTCAAATGTTTAAAGTATTGCAGAATATGTCTGGTAAATGTGTCCAGATCAAGTATTGTTTGTAGTGGTTCAGTCTGTGTTTTATGAAAGCAGATTTCTTATTTACCATATTTTTTGGACTGTAAATCACACTTTATTTCATGGTTTGGGTGGTCCTGCGACTTATACTCCGGTGCGACTTATATATTAAAATGTTCAGACTGACAGCCACGAGAGGGCGCTCTAGGCTTGTGTGTCAGTATCTAGTACTACTATTACTCCTGTATCACTGTCACTTCACACTTTACTGCGCATGCCTCCTGTAGAAAAAGCCGCTGTCCTGCTGTAAATAGTGAAATATGCCGAAAATGGTAATCGAGCAGCAGAAAGAAAGTTTGGAATGAGCAAGAAACTTGTGAGGGACTGGCGAAAGGCGGGGATGGAGAATACAGTTTCACTGTAACCGGACGGGTGTGCCATGTAACTTTCCTGGAAGTCATTGGATGAATCGACAAAGCCTGAACTTCAGTGACAACTGAAACCATCCTGTCGAGATTCAGAAAGGCCGGAATAATTCTAACTGGAACTGATACTGAGTCTGACGACAGCTACACAGAAGAGGAAGCGGCGCTCTGTTTACCTCATGGATCTATGGATTATCTCTGGAGGTCACGCAGAAGTGACACCGAGGACAAAGAATTCAATGGATTTAGTGATTTGGAGTGAGATCATGAGTTTGGTAAACTTATGTTATGTTGTTTATGTTATAAATTATCTGAATAGCTGTTCATATGTTACGTTAACATATTGACGCCTATTCAGCCTATTGTTCTCTATTCTGTTGTTATTACCGGTATTGATTTATTTCTTTGTAAAGGGGAAGCACATATTGATGAACACTTAAAATGTAAATATGTAAAGATTATAGCCAACGTGGCTAATTTCCTTCTTCAGTCTTGTGGCAGGTTGATGTGAAATCATCTACAGGACCGGGAAAAGTACAAGCAACAATCACACAAAAGTACACAAAACCAGCACACTCACTACACATACAACACACTCACTGTACACTCACTGTACATACAATTCATTTCAAACTGTTCATTTGAAGTTCAAAGTCAAGAGTTAAAGTGTTAAAATTTGATTTAATTTAACAAAGTTTAAAGAGGGAGGGTATTTTACTAACATAACATATTTAGATCACCATGTTACTTTTTATTGTCTTGAAAATGCAATATTCACCGAAATCGCATTAACATGTTTTAAAAAGTATCAACAGTATTGGAAGATGGGTCAAAAGTGTACATTACAAGATCCATAGTGTTTCTACTCCCATGTTCCTTTTCACAAGAACATCATGTTATTTCACATTTTCCAAACTTTTTTTTATTGGACTGGACAGTAACAGTGTGAAATGGTAGAAAATGTGTAGAGACATTAGGCTTATTGTCAGTTTGGAATCAGTCTCACGGCAGAGGCTGGCAGAGAGCCTTGTATGGGGGCTTCAACCAGACCTCTTGGCCATAAAGCAGCTTATGTGGACTTTTTATAAATCATGTGAAATGTATAGCGAATATAGCTATGTACTGTAAACTGATACGGCTCAAAGGATTCTGCGCCAAGGCAACAAGGAGTTCCTTTGGATATATACACTAAACCAAGGTAGTCATTATTTTGTCATCAGGCTGGAAATAAGCTGTTTTTGTCACCTCAGGTATTATTAAAATCATAAATTACACACTGCAGTTTATGTCAGACGATTCATCAGATTTTAATACAGAACAAGTAGTGAAAATCTGTCATCTACAAGTATTATCATTACAGCACACTGCAGATAACTCACACTCAGGTATTTTTCCCTACATACATCAGTTAAGAGGAACAGTTCTTTTGCATATAGGACACTAAGCTATGTCTTTCTCAAACCACTGGTGCTACACAGATTTCTCTTCAGTTCTAATATAATGTCTTTAATTTAAAGTTAAACTGCTTAGAAATAAATCTCCTTATTTAGTTTAGTCCTTATTGAGGCCATACTTCATGTGAAAGCTCAGAACCTCCAGAATTCCCTCCCTGAGCTGAGGCTGCACTAGTACTCATTCAGGACTGGCTACAGGTGCTGGTTTAGGTAGCTTTAATGTAATGTTTATGAGTTGGAGTTAAACCACTTAAAAATGTATCTCCTTAATTAGGTTAGTCATTGATTAGAACTTGGGTAGCAATATAGCCTTGCCCTACTTAAACCTGTTTGAACTCTAGTTAAAACCAGATATTAGTGCTATAAAAGTCCTGCTTTAGATCTCTTTAATCCAGAGTTAGTGTAATTAGGATGGAGGACAACAAACAGACGCTAGAATAAGGAAGCCTTTGAAATCCAGAAACGAGCCCACAGGACAGTGAACAGGGACAAGGGGGCCTATCAACTTTCAAGGACCTGGGATGCTGTGCTGGAGAAGTGGAACTGCAGATGGCCCTATTTCCCGACCAGTGCAGGTGGGAGACTGTTGCTAAAATCTGTGTAAATCAGATGCAAGACACATCAACAGTAAGATGAATGCACAATGTACCCGAAACATGTCAAGGTATGTGTAAACAACACACTGGTCTGTCAAAAAGAACCTTTATTTTGGATAGAAGTTAACCTTTTATGAATAGCTTTAGAATAATCTTGAGGTGCATCAGGAAAAAATAGACTATTATACACCCATGGACCACGATGGAACCTACCTGGATGACTGATGAAAAGATTACACTGATGTAAAACTGCATGGTATTATAAAAGAAAGTACTATGATCATCATTATCATCTATTGTCTAAAGCAGAGATACTCACTTTTTTTTTTTCACAAGAGCCACATTGGAAGAGCAAAATCAAGAGGAGAGCCTCTTATACCCAACATACGCCAACATACCAAGTCACCTTTTTTATATTAATAAAAAAGTCATTAAAAATACATTAAATTATAAAAATTCATATAATTATAAAGTTATTTTAAAAAGTTATAAAAATATCTTTATTTTTATATAAAAATTATCATCAGTATTATTACTTTGACTAATCTGCATAAATAAACTCAACTTCATAACATATAAACCAAAACCACTATAGAGCTACATCAGCCTGTTTGAGATTATAATGTGTTTAAAGCAGCTTTGACACATTTGTTTACGTTTTACAGAAACAAAACTTAAAAATGCATGGCTCATTTGCATAAACTGTAAGCCTGAAAAAACAAAACAAAACAGGTCTTTCCTTGTGCACTGATGCGTCAGTTTCTATCAGACTAAAGGACATGACTCAGTGGAATATACAGTATGTGTTCTTTCTGTGACAGAGGTTTGATGCTGATTGTGAGTCTGTTCTGTGTGTATGTCACGTTGGAGTTTGTTCATGTTTTCAGAGATCATGTGTGTGCAGATTGTACGTGTGCAGGTTTAGCGCAGCTCTTTATTTAATATTAATTTCACCCACTTTATTTATGTTGATCACTTTATTTAGATGATGTTAATGAAGAGCATGGACTACTTTTTAAAATGCAGATCAGGCAGTTCGTCAGATACAATCTTTTTTTTTTTTTTTGTGGTCGGAGTTGCGGTGGGTTAGTTGAAAGTATTGGTCAGATACAGGTCATTTATACATGGAGCCGCGCATCATTGGTTGCAGGTGTCATGGCGCCCCTTTAGGAAACACCATTAATTAAGCCTTGATTTATACTTAGTGTTTAATGCAGATGTTTGTGTTGCAATGTTTACTATATGTTTATCTAGCACATTTGAAAAAGTATATTGGCTGTGTTGCTATTTTTGGTATAAGCTTGCGAGCCACCAATTAAAGCTTGGCAAGCCGCATGTGGCTCATGAGCCGCGCAATGAATATCCCTGGTCTAAAGAAAGAGTGCTTTTAATTATAATTGTGGTAACGGAAACAGAATTGAATATCGAGTCTGTTCCTTAGTATCAAAATCGAGTTTGAAATTTTAGTATCTTGACGATTTCAATATACTTCCCATCACCGTTTACTAGGTTGTCAAAAGTATCAAAAAACAGTTACTAATCACACAAATACAAGACCACATAGACGAGTACACTATTTCAAAAATATTCTTCCCTTCACTGTTACCTCCTGTCTATACCAGCCTCAGCTCTGATCCCGATCACAATCCCCCTCTCCTAAACTTTGTAACGTTATTGTTTGCGACGTGAGCCCGGTTTGCGTGTTTATCCCCTTCACTTGCCGGCTCCATAGGTGGTGAGTGTGGGGAGCGTGACAAGCACTTCTGGTGGCTTTGACTGCTGTTAGGCATGTGCTGTAGTGAGATAACTATGGTAATACTGCTGGAGCCCCTGGGCTGCCAATCAAAACCTGAGTGTGGAAAGACACCTAAAGAGGCTGCGGGCTATTACAACGCGTTTCCCTCGATGTTCAGCAAAAAGAAGGAAAAAAAAAAAAAAAAGAGAAAGCACTCTTCAAACTCCTTGTCTGGCACTACTGAGCGAGACAAAAGCTGGGTTTTGGAGATTTACGTTTGGGAAAAAAACAAGTTGACAATATTAAATGATTTGAACATTTGTGTTTCTTGCACTTCTCTTTCAAATATGATTTCGTTTTTCTTGTTTCTAAGAATTTCTAAGCTTTTAAACGTCTTATGACATTGTTCCTTCATCCAAAACGTACCTCAAGTTGCATTTAGGTTTATTCATGCTGGTTTCGGTAATCCTTTGTTAAAAGTTTTGCAGCTGAATCTCAGAGAATATGTGGTTTGAAATTTTCCAGGATTGTGGCATCACACATAGAAAACCATCGGCAGACTTGTTCAAAGCATCTCTGACGTCAAATTGTGTTAATTTAAAATGCGTGATTACATTGACATGTCTGGGCATTTTGCTTATCAGCTAGTTGAGAGAGCAAAAATATAAATAGTGATAATACATTCAAAATAAGTAGCAAAGAGA